CTTCCAGTGCCCTCTGAGGCTCAGCTGGGGGGGGAGGAGAAGCCCCTGCCCCTCTGGAGGGTCGCCAGCAGCCCCGGCTGACTTTGTGGGTGCAGAGAGGGGGGGAGGCCTCTTCTCCTGTCGCCCCAAGAAGCTGCCCTTCTCCCCTCGCCCCAAGGCCTTGCCAGGGCTCCCCTCCAGCCAGGCTTGGCTCAGAGGCCTGCAAACAAGAGCCGCCATGCTGGGGCGCCTGGCCTGGGAAAAGGGGAGAGTGGAGACCCCCCCCCCGCGTTGCCCCCTCAGCCCTCTTCTCTGAGAGAGGCAGGCCGCCTCTGTGACCTTTGCCTCCCCCCTCCAGAAACAAGGCTGCTCCGCTCTACAGGAGGGAGGGTCTCTCCGCCCCGGCCTGGCCCTGGCCTCCCTTCCTCCTTGGGGCCTTTGGATGAGTGATGTGGAAAAAGCTGGAAGCCCTCCTCCCGACTGCTGACGCAGCCGCTTGACGTCTCCTCTCCTCCTCGCCTGGTGTCGGGGAAAGGTTGGGGGTGGGTGGGATGGGGACCGGGAAGGCAGTAAACAGCGCTCGCTCGGCAGCTGCTTCCCAGTCTGCTAGGAGGAGGGAGGCCCAGGCTGGGACAGTCTGAACGAACTTAGGAGAACTGGCCCAGTCGCCTAGTGGGCAGAGCTGCTTAGAAAGAGGTGGGTAAAGTGGGTTTGTGCCTCCTGTTTGGGCCTTGAACAGCGGATCTGGCCGTCTTTTGGGGGGCCAGGAAGAGCTCTTGGTGATTTAGGACTCTCTGTTCCTCACACCACCCGCCGCATTCTCACACAGCTGTCCGCAGAAGTACGGCTCCCGCCTAGATCTCCTTCCCCCTGCCTGGGTCGGGGTCAGGGCTTGCGGGGTGCACAACTGGTGCTCCGGCCCTTTTTCAACCCAGCGGCCGCCAGCCCCTGCATTGCTGAGGCCATGGGTCAGGACACTGCTGGTGCATTTCCTGGCTCTGCCAGGCTGCCAAGACCGTTTCCTCTTGCGTGGGGGGGGGGGGGGGGGAGAGAGGCTGTGCCTCCCCCTCAACCCCGGGAAGGGGAGCCGGTCCAGATGGAAAGGAGCCCTGCTGGCGGCTGCAGTGGGAACTGTGCAGCCTGTTCTGTTCCAGGCCCAGCGAGAAATTCAAACAGGAAGTGATTCAGGACCAGAAATGCCCAGTTTCTCGTGTGGATGAACTCCGAGTCCGGCACGCCTTGTTTCAGGTTGCCGAAGCGGTTGGGGGAGGGGAGGGGGTTCCAACCCATCCTTCCTGGGCATGTGCAGAGAGATAGCAAAGGCCCTTTGACCAGGAGTCTACAAGCCAGCCTGTCAGCCTTTGCTGACCTCCTGACCTAGGGGGAACCAAGTTGTAGGGAAGGGGGCTTCTAGCTTTGGTCAGATAGGAAACAAGCTGGTCTTCAGATCCAGCTGCCATTTCCCAGCTGAATGGCTGAATCTCTGGGGTCTGGATGGTGCTGGAGATGGGTGCGGTAGAAAGGGAAAAGGTGGCATTTGCAGGCAATGCTGGAGAAATGGGAAAATTGGAGCTGGGGCTCCTGGTCAACGGAGTCCTAACCCTTCGGAGAGGGCTTGGCTTTTAGGCTCCCCAAGAACGGAGTCTCCCCCAGACCCCGGTCCCAAGCTTGGCACAGGAGCCCCAATTTTTTTTAGGGAGAGGAGCGAATGGTTTGTCCTGGCTGAATGAGGCCGGGCTGAGTGTTTATAAGCCTAAAATCAGGTTTTATTTCCTGGCAGCAGAGGAATCACGGTTACCCTCGAAAATGTAGGTGGGAGGGCACGTAAAGAAGAAGGCTGGCTGAGGAGACCCTCGGCCTCCTGGGACATGCATGAGTGGCCGGCCCCAGTTCTTGGGGGCTCCGTGGGAGGAGGAGGAGGAGGTGTGTGGCAGAACACCCGTTGAGGCTGCGGGTTGCGTGCCAAAGGCTTCGGAGAGAGTTGAGTCCGAAGTGGGCAAGTCTGTTGTTTGCCGGCGTTGGTTTTGTGCGGCTTCTGAACTGGGGTGGGAACAGCCCACGCGTTTCGTTTCTTGCGGTGCTGTGATTGTGTGTCCTGTTTGGGCACGGTGCGGTTTTCTGCTGCACAGCAATTTGCCCGCTTCCTAAAGATGGAAAGGAACGCCAAGGGATGCTTCTGCTTAATGTGTCCCTAGCCAGGGCAGATTCATAGGCTCCGGCAAGGGGCAGCGTGCTCTGGGTGGGTGGGGGGGGGAAAGAGGCAGTCACCCCTGACCCCCACATTCCTTGCTCGTAGCCTGGGGTCAGAATCTGCCTTCCCCTCGGTTCCAAGGCTTTGTCTTTAATTTGGAAGGAGCAGCATAGCCTGGGGGGGGGGGCAGGGAGAAGGTGGTGGGAAAGACTGGCCCAGATATCCAGCTGGTCTGAGTGGGTTTTGTTGCCCCCCCTTCAGACAATGCTGAGAAGCGGGAGACCCTTTTGCCTTCTCCTCCGGCCAGCACTCCCCCCTCCCTTGCTGTTTGTGACCGAAGGCCTTGTTTGCTCCCCCAGCCGGGCCGGCCTTCGTGTGGGACGTTCCTTGAGCTCCTCCAGGCTGGCCCCCGACTTGCTCTCCCTTTATAGGCTCCCGTGGTTGGTTGGGGAGGGCGGTGCGGGGTTACATAAATTCCAGCACGTGCGCCTGGTCTCCAGCCGAAGAAGAGACTTTGGGGGGAAAACATCCCAGCTTCGGCGGCCCTCGCGGTGAGCCTCTCTTCTTGGGGGGTGGGGGGCTGCAGTAACTCTGGGTCTCCTGAAAGGGGGTCATCCCTTTTCTTCTGGGGGGGGCTGCAGTAACTCTGGGTCTCCAGAAAGGGGTCAGCTGTAAGGAAGGAGAAGGGGGGGGGGCATGGATTATCCCTGGCTGCCCGTTTGGACTTTATTCCAGCAGAATTTATTTGCGTTATCTGTGTGTGTGTGTGTGTGTGTGGTACAAATGGTATAGGGCAGGGGTAGGCAACCTTGGCTCTTTTATGACTCGTGGACTTCAACTCCCAGAATTCCTGAGCCAGCTTACCTCTGGTATAGGGTCTCCTGCTTGAGCAGGGGACTGGACTAGATGACCTACAAGGTCCCTTCCCGCTCTGTTCTTCTGTATTCTGTGTGTGTGTGTGTGTGTGTGTGATGGGAAGGCCGGCTGCTCCATGGGGAGGGGGGGGCTTCCTTAAGGTTGCTTGGGCTGCAGTCAGGTGCACCAGCTGCGCTTCTGGCTTGGACAGCATTCCTGGCTTGTTTACCCTGTAAGAAGAGACACCGGACGCTGATGGGGGTGTGCGGCTGCCCGAATAAGGTCAGGGGGAAAAGAGGCATCTCCTCCTCCTCCCCCCCCCACAAAGCACCACCCCCCTTGAAGTGAAGGGAGCTTGGCTTGGCCAGCCTTGGAAGCCTTTGGCCAGGGCTGCAGGGCCCCCCCCTTTACAAGCCCCCCTTCGCTCGGCTTCCCGAAGTGGGACGGGAGCGACCTCTCCTTCCGCCTTGATTCTGTCAGGCCGAATTTGCCGGTTGGCTGACCCAGCGTAGTTTTTTCCTCCGGCAGCTGAGCAGGTAGGGGGGTTGGGGTGGATGGGTGAGTAGGTGGGTGGGTGGGTGGGAGAGCAGGGTCGGCCCTTGCCTGGCAGAGGAGCTGGGACGGAGGCGGCGGCGGCGAAGGCAGCCAGCCCAGCCGGAAATGGCAGCAGGGCAGGGATTGGGAAGGCCTTTCGGTAAACAAGCCGGCCATGCCGGGGGGCTGTTTTTGCATCCCGGCAGAGCTAAGCAGGACCCCCATGGCTGCCGGCGTGAGGCAGGGCGAGGAGATGCTCTTCCCAGCAGCTGGGGGGGGGGGCTGAGGAGAGACCCCCGAGGGCTTGCAGCTGGTCGGAAGGAAGCCTCAGCCCGAAGGTCTGTTCTCCAGGCCAGCGTTTCCCGGGAGAATTTCAGGATTCCCCCGCCTGGTTTACGCGTCGTCGTTGCCCTGAGCTGGCTGGGACTTAGTTAGTTGAGCAGATCAGGGTCTTCTTCTGCCTTCTGCTTGGTTTGGTTCCTTCCGGGTCCCTCCGAAACGGGGCAGTAGCCTCTCTCCTGGGCACTGAGAGGTACACTGCCCCTGAGCGAGGAGGCTCAGCTCTTTCGGACTGCTTCGGAAACTCACCTGGGCTTTTAGAAGGCTGTCCATGTCGCTGGCCATCTTGGGGAGGCGGGCACCCTCAGAACCTGTGTCTGGGGAGGGTCCAGGCTGGGCTGGGGGGGTCCAAGGGGAGAAGGACACGGGCAGGGGGGGGCCATGCCGCCTCCCCAGCTCCGGCCTTGGAGACTTGTATCAACCAAGCCACCGAAACAGGAAACCAAGTAGGGCCGATAAGGCTGCCAGATGCTGTGCCAGGAGCCGGCAGGCTGGGGGGATGGAGGGGGGGCTTGGACCCCCCAGGGAAAAGGGGGGGTTGGATCATGCTGCCTCTTCAGGAGCTGGGGGGGTGGGGGCTGGAAAAGCGGGGTGGAGCAGTGCTGGTTCAAGGCTGGGCATCCCTGGGGGGGGCAGGGGGATGGCAGATTCTCCGGTCCTGCTCAAGCCTTGGGCGGCCACGTGCCCGTCGGGTTGGCGCCGCGAGGCATCTCCAGACAGCGGGCATCTCCTGTGGGTGGGTGGGGAGAGGAGGGCAGGCGTTCTGGGGCCGGCTTTCCAGGAAGCCGCCTCTCTCCGCCAGGAATGCGGCTTCACAAACCCCGGTTATCCGCCTGGCTGCCTGGGCTTCCTGTTTTGGGGCAGATCCCTCTCCAGCAGGAGGGGCTGGGAAGGAGGGAGGGAGGTCTGGGCTGTGGGGAGGGGGGCAATGAGCGTGGGGTGGGGGGAGGGACGGAGGCTGGGCGGGAACTGCATGCTGGGACACACCTGTATGGGAGGGCTGGCTGCTTTGTGGTCTGCGTAAGCACCTCTGGGGATGTGGGGCCAGGTGGGGCAGGAGAGCGGGGCCTGGGGCCGCCGATAATGCTGAGAGCCTCTTTCTGCCCTTGCCTTCCAGATGTCCACTTACAAGCGGGCCACCCTGGACGAAGAGGAGCTGGTGGACGCCCTGGAGGGAGAGATCTACCCCAATGGGGTGCAGGTGAGGAGGGAGGGTGGCCCCCCCCCTTCCGGCGGAGGGTTCCCTGGCCCTCAGCCTCCCCTCCTCAAAGGCCCTTGACGTCCCCCAGCCCTGTCCAGTCCACTGTGGGGCTACTGGGAGAGACTCCTGGGAAGGGCTGGCTGGACTCGGCCCTTGTTCCCCTGGCCAAGCTGCCCATCTCAGGAGCCTTGTGGGGGGCTGAAGGGGGGCTGGAAAAGCGGGGTGGAACAGTGCTGCTTCAAGGCTGGGCATCCCTGGAGGGCAAGGGGGGGCGGATGGCAGATTCTCCTGGTTCTGCTCCAGCCTTGGGCAGCCACCTGCCCATCTCAGGAGCCTGCTGGGGGGGCTGGGGGGGCTGGAAAAGCAGGGTGGAGCAGTGCTGGTTCAAGGCTGGGCATCCCTGGGGGGCAGGGGGTGCGGATGGCAGATTCTCCTCTGGTTGACGAGGTCGGAACCCATCGGTGCACGGGTAGAGTCCTCGGAACACACACCCCCCCCGTCTAAGGGGAGCATCTTTCGTTTCTACCCACCCACCCACCCGTTACGACGGTCGAAAGAGAACCCGGTCGAAAGAATGGGGCTACGGGTCCTCCCCCCTTGCACGACCGTGCAGTTCTCCGGACTCTGCTTCCTGTCCCCTCGCCCCCCCCCCTCTGCTTCCTTTAGATGCCAACCTCCAGTGAGGCTGCAGGTGGATATGAACCCTGTGGGTTCAGGGGTGGTTGTGGTTGTGTGTGTGTGTGGGGGGGGCTCCTCCTAAGATCTGCTGGCTTCTGCCTTTCCTAGTCATGGTCTTGCTGGTTTTTGAAGTTCCCACTCTCAAACCTTTGCCCGCTCTTTCGTTCTAGGATTCTGCATAGCGGGTTCCTCCTGGGAAAGGGGGGGGCTGGACTAAATGACCTCGGGAGGCCCCTTCCAGACCGGGGTTGTGTGCAGTGGGTCCCTCCTGGGAAGAGGGCTGGACTAGGGGATCTCTGAGGTTCCTCTCAGAGAGGGATTTTGTGGGGCGGATTCTTCCCGAGAAGGGGGTTGGGCTGGATGGCCTCTGAAGGTCCCCTTCCCGACAGATTTGGTGGAGCAAATTCCTCCTGGGAAGAGAGCTGGACTAGACCTCGGAGGTCCCTTCCTGGTGTGGGGTTCCACGCCCCAGACCAGCCTCTGCTTGGCCCCCTGCTGACCCTTGCCTCTTGCGGGGGGGGCACAGGGGGAGAAAGAGGCAGGGCGTCTGCGGAGGGAGGGCGTTCCCCGTTCCTTGGCTCAGGAAAACCCTTGGCTTTTCCACCTTGTCAAACGCGGCACCGCAGGCGGTTTTGGTAGAGCAAAACAAAGAGAATTCCTCGGTGGAAAATCTCCGCGCAGCCCAGAAGCAGCAGCAGCCGAAGGGCAGAAGCGGAGAACTGGGGGCACTCGGGGGTCCCTGAGCCCTCCCAGGCCTTCCTTCTCTCCGCTGCCCGGCCTCTGGCCTTCCCCTCCTGGCTTTCTGGCCCTCTCCCTTCCGGTGAGAAGCCAGAGGAAAGCCGGTGGGCTCCTCCTCCCCCTCCTTTGACAGACAAGCTCTGGCCCAGGCAGGGCAGGGGTGGATGTAAGCCCCCTGCCCCCCCCCCTTGGCCGCCTTCCCTGCGCCAGAAAAGGAGGGCTGCCTGCAGGGAAATCCTCTGGTTCCCCTGCCCTGGAGGAGGAAGGGGAGGAGGAGGAGGAAGGAGGGGAGGAGGGGAGGAGGAAGGGGAGGAGGAGGAAGAAGGGGAGGAGGGGGAGAAGGGGAGGAGGAGGAGGAGAGGAGGAGGAGGAAGAAGAGGAGGAGGAAGAGAAGAGGAGGAGGAGGAAAGGGAGGAGGAGGGGAGGAGGAAGA